ATAGTTGTGCCTGTCGTCTGCTGACACCTGTCCAAGTATTTCCAGTGGTTGTCCTTTCAAGCTCGTTGCCAGATATACTGCTTTCTGCTTCTCTGTCCATCCGATCATTTCTGCCAGTAGCTCAAACTGTGCTCCATATGCTTCCCACGGTGCTTTCCCATCGTATTCCTGTGGCTTCCTTCTTACTGAATCACTCCTATTACTGACATTCATATCTGGGATGTGACTTTTAACAGGACTGAAGATGTCTGCATTAGGGTTTAGCTGCGGGGTCTGGAAGGGGCTTGCCATTATCTGGGTCTGATTAAGTCGATGGTTAATGTATCCTCCTTGTGTAAAAGACAATTGATCATCCTTTAATGTATCTAATTCGCTTTTAAATTTACTAATATTTTCCATTTGTACTTCTTGCCACTGTTGTTGACTTTCCTGTAGTTGCTGCTGACTTTCTTCCTGTTTTCTTTCTTGTTCTAGTTGCCACTGCTGTAATCTCTCTTCTTGTTTCTTTTCTCGTTCTTCTTGTTTCTTTTCTTTTTCCTCCAACAACTGCTGTAATCTCTCTTCTTGTTTATTTTGCTGTTCGAGCTACCACTGTTGCAGGTTTTCTTGCAACTGCCGTTGTCTCTCTTCTTGTTTATTTTCTCGTTCTTCTTGTTTCTTTTGCTGCTCTTGTATTGCTGCCATCAAGTCTGCTAGGCTGTAGTTTGATTTTCCGTCTCTCGTTTCCATTTTTTTTATCCCACTTGTGACACCAATTTGTTACGTCTCTGTTCGTTAGTTAATTTTCCGTAAATTCGTTCTGACGAAACTTTAGCGACACAAGTCCTTTCTTAAATAAAACTGGTTTATTCTTTCCGAATACAACTTTACGATACACTTAATTTCAACAGTCGCTCTATAATTCTCAACGAACGTCTCATGTGCTCGACTTCAACAATACTCAGTTCAATTACATACTCTCTGACTGCAGTTCAATTACTCATCACCTCTCCGTCGCTTCGTGGCCGGTCTTATATATACAAGACTACACCAAAACTAGAAAGATCACGAGATTTAAGGAAAAGACGTGAAAGTTCGAGAATGACGTGGCGTGATACTGGTCACGTGACCTCGATGTCGTAACAATACATATATATATATACATACACATATATATTTCTAGTATTAATGTCTTCCATACACGAATATGCACTGCAGATATTAAATAAAGAGTTCGACGGTTAACAAATTTTTATCGCTCATTACATTGTTGCCCGATTAAGGCCCCGGTAAGAGAGCCAAAAACACTCAAATAAAAGTATTTTAACATAGATAAGAGTCCATGTATAATTCTACATATTAATTTACCTACGTTATGAGTCTTAAACAACATTTATTTGGGCTAGTTAAGCCTGATGGAAAATATCGTTTACCTTTTGTGATACTCTTTCTAAGTAGGCGTTTCCTCTCCTCTCACTTTCTCGTGAAACTCACAGCTGCACTGCTCGTTCAGAAATGATTTTTGTAAAATGATTGAAGAAAGTTTTGCATCATTCGTATCTCTTTTCAATTTTTAAAAATCTTTTAAATAAAAGTCGTTATTACTCGTGCAGCGAAAAACAAATTTGACTTTATTTCAAATTCTTATGTAATTTGAAAATCACAAATTCAAACGAACAAACATTTAAATATAATCGTTTCCGCCAATAATGTGAATTCATCACTTTCATATGTTTTTTAAACCTGTTGTTATTATTAAATGCTTATTCCAAGCGACAGATGGCAGCATATACTTCTCTCTTTTTATGGTTTAAAGGCTATAGGGCAAAATTACAGGCAATAATAAAAAAAAAAATTGGCCAAAATTTAAAAAAATAAATAATAATACCCACGTGCATACCCTCAAAACTCCCTTAGTATGCATACAAAGTTTCAGGTCTCTAATCTTGGAGCTATGGCGCTGACTTACACTCACTGTTTTATTTGTTCAGATAGTTATGTTACTAATTAAATTACTATACTCACAATTGTGAAATATAAAACTAAAGACAGTTTCAAAATGTTTTATGATTTGCCTCCAAATAAATAAAATTGAGGAGGTTAATAAACAAAATATTATGTTGAAAGAATACAAAGTTTATTAAATATCTTAAAACAAAAGCCACAGTTTTGTACTTTGTCCTCGAGACTGGAAATGTATAGGATGAACTACAGAAACATAATAGTGCAAAGTGGTTGCAAGACGTGGTGATGCGCAGCGTACACAAGTGTTGAGCTACAGGTTGTAATATTATGGGTGCTGGGTATCATGCGTGTTCGGATAGGAATTTAGTTACATGTACCGTCCTTTGACTGTTTATTTTTGGGTTTTTCTGTTAATGAGAATAACTTCTATATATTACTTATTTTAAAATCTTAGTTTTTGTAAGAAACTAAATGAGCTTCCTTTGTCCATGTCCGAGATTCTATGTTTGTATAAAAAGTGGTTTGCAGGAAAGGTTTTACTATTATTATTATTGTTCATATTGATATAAAGTATTACAGGTCCAGAGATGCGTGTAGTTTAAGGTATTTTGGTTTCTCTAATATATATATACACACACACACTTCTCCACAACATATATTACATGATTTATCTACTAAGTTATGTATTCTTTCAGTTTAAAATCTCGCGTCTTGGCCGCCTCAATTTAATTTATTTCGTGGCAAATCAAACACTTTTAAATTGTCTTTAGTTTTATACTTCACAAGTAATATATGTTAAATGTTAATATAGTAACACAGTTAGTATCATAACTATACCCCGATATCAAAGTAATTATGAAACAAAATTAATATACTAAATCTTGTTAACAGTACGTTATGACAGACCCGAAAAACAGAACCTCAACAACAATTCAATAGATTAACATACTACATGTTGGAACATATTTCATGTTTTGACAGAACATTAGTCTGTCTTCTTCCTTATACTAATAAATAGTTGTTCGTTTCTATATTATTAGATTAACGTATATTTTCACATCAATCTTTTCCACTAGCGCTTGTTAGAAAGGCACATTTTAAAAATTCAAGTGTATTCACATTCTTTCGCTCTCACAAATAAGACTCGTCTTCAGGCCTATCTCAGGTCATGGAATGACCATTAGTTGAGCGCCAGCTTTTCTTGTGATAACTTCTTTGGTTCAGAATCGAACTGACACCTTTCGCACATCAGGCGAGTGCTTTACCATTGGCAATTCCTAGGAAGGTACCACATAAAAATTCAATTGCCTCATTCCGTTGTCATTATCAGTTTGGTTTGTTTTGAATTTCGCGCGAAGCTACTCGAGAGCTATCTGCTCTAGCCGTCATTAATTTAGCAGTGATAGACTAGATGGAAAGCTGATAGTTAACACCACCTACTCCCAACTTCTTGATCTAGTCTTTTACCAGCGAACAGTGGGATTGACCGTAACATTTGAACGTCCCCACGGCTGTTCGGTGACGGATATTCGAACCCGTAGATTGCAAGTCGATTGCTCTTAATTGCCAGGCCATATATAATGATTACAATAGTCATGAATTTCATTTATCAATAACTAGTTTAAAATATACCTTTAGTCTCATTTTTATAAATTTTCATGCAAGTATTCTACATGTGGTAGGACATTCTTGTAAACTGAATGTCGAAAACACGTACTAATCTTTTAAACTTAAGTAATGATACCATACATCAGCGGCTAGAAACACGTTACTTTGACCCTATGCCTGACCTCTCACGGCGAGCCCATCTCAAGGGATAGCTTAGATGTGTAACAACTGCTGATTTAAGAAAGTATTTCTCCCCATAAATGTTATTTGGTATAGTCGGCGATGTACATAAGAGTTCGATTCTGGTATATCGTAAGTTTAATTTTTTTTTCATCGTGTTCTTCGGTCTGACTGAAAACCCTTTATACAGAACCAGTAATGAAAAAACAAAACCAAGAATATAACTGTACAATAAACAATAAGAACGAATTAAATCCCAACTTTATTGAAAATATTGTTGTGTCAGTGTTTCACGATCAGCGAGGATTTAGTAATGTTCTAACTGGTTCACGTGAATTAACATAAACTAGACTAGATCCGAGCCTCTTAATGTTTAAGTTTTCTGGTTAAAACCTCCAGCTTTTGGTTAACAACTTCGTATCTGAAGAACGGAAGCAAAACAATATGAAATGTAGGATTAATATATTTTATTCGTTCATGCTTTAATTTTGTTTAGTTATGTCTATTTGCTTATTTATTATACCCCCCCCCCAAAAAAAAATGTACAAATAATAAACTCCCTTAAATTTACTTCGTCAACCACATCTAAAAACAACCACTCCGTTTTTGTAGGTTCAACCTAAAATCATATTTACCCTACCACTAGAAACAGCACACTGCTTGAATGACTTAAAAGAATGATCAACCAGAATAACTATCTTTTTCCTCCATACTGATTACAAACAAATCTGAAATAATCAGCAAATTAATTCTAGCCTAATGAGCACAATATTCAGTACATGTAGCTCGCCAGTTTCCATATCTGACCTTTCACACTGATCCCATCATATGGTTTGGTAAATTTTATGATAAGCACATTTCATACAATTACAAAGGAACAGTTTTGCATTTGGATGTACTTATTCACAAAACAAAACAAAAAATATCAACAAATTTTAATATTAAAACACTAGTAATCTTTGGCATTAAGTTCCACACAAATAAAAAAGAAAGGTTTAAGAGTATCTTTAAGCCAATGCTACTACAATGACACATCTGATAGAAGAACTGCATTCTGACAAAAAAAAAAGAAAGAAAGAGAACAATTAATGTTCTCCAATCATAATTCATTTTTTAAATTCATTCACGCTTAATGTTTCAGCTAAAGGGTGAGCATAAAACAAAACATATGACCTCTCATTCTTATAGGTTATGAATTCATATTCATTTTGTTCTTTCTGGTGTATTACAAAGCTTTAAAAGAAATAATAATTACACTTCAAAAAAACTCCTTGATTTACAAACAACCTTTATTTTTCCCAGTCTGGCTACATAAAAAGGATGGACCTTTTTTATATATATATATATGTGTTTAAATATCCAACTCATAACTGATTTACATTTAAAAAACAACATGACCATGGACTAACAGAAAATTAAACAATTAAAATGATAAAAAAATGTTAGTTTACATATAATGGTCCATTCCACTTACCTATAAAATATCTTGGAATTTTCAAAAAAAGATTAATTAAGATTCTGTCTGCTTTTATGGATTGGAAAGTATACTTTAACATCTGTTTATCCACATAATGAAATGTGCCAAATTTGGCTAAAAACTTTCAAAGGTAAAACAAAAACTTAATCTGAAAATAAATATGAATAAAAACACATTAATATTGCAGGGACTGTCATGCCAAAACCTAAAGCTATGTTTTCAGCCAATCATTTCAATACTCAGTTTTTTTTGTTTTTTTTTATAAGGTCTTCGTTAATCTCTAGTTTAAATTTCATGCCTACTTTTTTTCTTTATAAGGTCTTGGTTAGTCTAGTTTAAATTTCATGGCTACTTTAATGATCTGTGCATTGGGTGATGTCTTTAAGAGTACACTAAAACTCAGTTGGATTAAAAACAAAAGTGAGTTTAAATTTTGTGATTATCATCTAAGGATGCTTCAATTTTCTCTACTAATACACTGAGCTACTAGGTAATATGCTGAATTAAGAAAAAACTCAGTATATTTCCAACTGTTCGTGAACAAGTTTTTAAATAGTGTGGGCAGGAATGTTGAGAGCCAGCACAGGCCCTGGGGGCAAACATCCTTGCCAGGCCCCCTTTCTCTCTCTCTTTTTTTAACATTTTCAAGTATTTATTAAAAAGAAGATCCTAAATTAGGACAGCAACGAGCTCATAAATCAGACAAAATCATTGCAGCAGCCATTTTTCCTCACAGTATAAGTGTAAAAACGTTAATGAAGTAACAACAAATATCTAGTAAATCTATAAAGTAACAAATACATATTAATTATTACTCTAATTATTGTTTCAGTCATTCTTAATGTATCAAACGTCTATATGCAAAGAAAAGCCAAAAACTACGGTTTTTATCATTAAATGAAGATATAGCCTAAAGATGCTTTGCGGGCTTTACGGCATAACCAGGTTTCGTTCATCTGGAACCCTGGGCAGTTGCCCCGTTTGCTTGTTGGCGAGCCTGAGTGTGGATAGTTAGTTATGCAAGGTATTGTTGGAACAATGTGTTTTTTTACTACAAGATTATGTATGAGCAACATGCAGAAGTGAAAAACAATTACTTAGTGTTCTGTGCTAGATTTAAAAAAAGAAGAGATTATTTCTAAGCCATACACAAATATGTTTTTTAAGATCAGAAGGTTGTCATTCCACTCTTATCTATTTATTACAAATGACAACTGTTGTACCTACATAAATACCACTCTAATACTACAATCATAATTCTAATAAACTACTAAGCAAACTGTATTTTTAATTTGTCTTGACATGCAGACAGTTGAACTGCATTGATTTAGGCATGAAATGATTTTTCAGGTAATTAATATATTGACTCCACCCTAAATAAGTTATCAAAATAACCTCATTTAATAGTGCTAAAATGTATTGATGCAAAATGTGCTTCAAAGTAGAAACACAATACCAGTTAAGAACAAATATTTTTTATGAAGAAAGACATGACTATAGCTTCAGATAAAACTTGCAATACTGTTTTTTTTTAGGAGGAAGTTGCATTTTTGTTTTCCTTCCTTGAAGAATTATACTATATCAACATTCTGTATACTGCAGTTGTTCTTCCTTTAGCCAGGCAACAGGAATTCCCAACTTAAGAAATTGTCTTGGTTGCTCTAGATGATTTCTGAATAAATGGAGGGTAGCCTTTACCAACTCCCTTGTAGAGGGAAGCTTTGAAATTAAAATACAAATACAAAATCAAGCAGTGACTGCAAAAGTCAACTGAAAAGTCCAAAAATAAACAATAACTCCTCAGGTTATGCAAGGATCTCCGAATAAAATGGCTATGCTACATAATTATGAAGGAACTGAAGTTAATCCACAAGCAGTTCAAAGTGAACACTTCCCAACCGTTCCTTCCTATCATGCTTGATATTAGCAGCCCAAGCTTTGCACTCTATGTTCATCAGTACACCTGAGGTAGGGTCCCGAAAATGAACAAAAACAAAAGGAGACAGATAACCTGGTTGGTTGGTGAAAGGGAAGTAATAGTTTGGAATGCCTTGGGATGGATAATAGCTAATAGGTCCAATATTTTCTTTGTCAGCTGGGTTCTAGGGGAAAAAAATTAAATTAGATTTATCCTGAACCAGAAATAATAAATTTGTTGTGTATCAGCAAGGAAAAAAGCAAGTGATAAATTCTATCATTTAGCATCCAAACCATTATATTTTATGTTATAAAACAGACATATACTACTACCATATAATGATATATTATTGCTTCAAAAAAAAAGTAAAAAAAAAAAAGATTTGACTAAGAAATATAATCCTTATATCAACAGAGTAATGAATAATATTACCCAAGTTACAGGTATTTCAGTGTACATGGTATAATATTGAAGTTCTTTGTTTTATTTCAGGTTAACTGAGTTTTCTAGCATTGGAACATACTTTATTTTTTTGTTTTTACATTAACATTTATCAACGTATAAAAAATTATACTGATAAATAAATTCAAAGCTTTTCAAAAATTTAATGGATGTATTTTACAAAACACTGATAAAAAAAAACAAATTATTATAATATTGTATCTTGAACAGTGTATTATCATTATTTAATCTGACCATGTATTGCAGTAAATGTTAACCTGAAGTATAACATTAACCCAAAAAATTATATTCTCACCACACAAATAAAGCAGTTTGTAAATATGTGTATTGCTGTTTTTGAGAATTCAGAGTTAGAACAGTTGAAATGATAACCCAAAAATCACAGTTGTCCAACAGCAATATTTCATTCTACTTTACTTCTTTTGGAAGAAAAAGGTTTAGCTGACTATGAAATAAGAATCTGTTAAATGAACATTTAACATAAACAACAAAACTAGTATCAAGATAATACCAGAACCAGAAGTGTTAATGACCGATAACGTCATGAATGAAGTTATGAGTAAAATGTAGGTACCTGCATGTAACCAATGGGGAAGCAGAAACATTATAAAGATTTTAAAATGCTTCAAGGAACTGTGGGTACAAGAAATTATCAATGGAGTTAAGTTTATGGTATGTAGTTGGAGAGAAATATAAAAGGTTATGATCCAATTAATTTAATATTATTTCATGCTTTTTCTTCTATGAAAATATTAATTATTTCTGGCACATGGATTTATTTGAAATGCAAAAAGGCATGTCTCATTCAGTTATCATGACACTATATTAATTTGATCGAGAAAAGTTGGACCAAATTTAGTACTTAAGTACTTGAAAATCAAAATAATATTATTCAAAAAGCATGCAAAAATTTAAGAAATTTCAAAAATATTTGATAAACTTATTCTGATAATTACCTCGCCTTCACAAGTAATATACACATATCTAGGATCATACTTCTTTTTCAGGTTTTCTGGCATACTGTCTGGTAAACTTTTGTTGTCATAAGGTTCTGGTTTCCAATTATAGATCTGAAGAAAATTAAAAAAAAAATTGTGCATCTACAATGAGATGTATCTGAGAAAAATAAAAATTTAACAGTAGTTTTAAGTTACAAATATTTATAATGCTAGACCTTGTCAAAGTTTATTCGAGAACCAATTCCAAGGAAGAGTCAATCTATCAGTTTCAACTTAGTCATGCTATTTAGTACAACAAATTGATTTCAACTTTTACAAGTACTACTTAGTTCTTTTTTAATGTACAGTCTATTTATTCTGTTTAGCTGTACCTTTTTAATATTATCCCTATGGTTTCAGCAGCCTGTTGGCTTCTAACTGTACAAAATAACATAAATAACATGACAAACTACTATTCCCTTAAGCAACTTAGTAAATTCCATTGAGAGAAAATGATTCAAACCTACCCGATTAATTTTTATCAGAACACATGGACGACCTACATCATATCCAAATTTTCGTGAGTAGCTACAATTATTGTTAATTTTGTCCAAATTAAAGTGACAAACTTCATCAGGTTTTCGAGTCTCTTCAAAAGTACACGTAGTTAAATGTTCTCCATGTTGCTGTCCTCCTTGATACTCTAGAGAAAAAAAATATAAGCAATATAACACAAAGTTATATAAACATTAAAAAGTTCACAATGCTGATAGACTACAGAAATCAAATTATGAAAAAATACACTTATGTACTGATATGCTATAGAACGTGAAATATAAACACTATATTGATACAGCTACAGAAATAACCCTGCATGAAAGCTATATTTATATAATATTGATATGTATAATAACTCAATAAATCCAAAAAACAAATACTATTGATAATAAGCTATTACCAACAATGCTACACTATCACCTCAAGAAATAAAAGAAATCAAAAATACAAAAGTATGCCCCTGGACTATAGAAAGAATACAATAATAAATTATACCACCCTGATAAACTACTGATCTAAAATGAAATGTTAAAAGTACTACACAATTCTACTTGCAGGCTAAAAAACAATAACAGTGTAATTTTCTATTGCATCTTCATATAATACAATGACAATTTTGTTATAAAAGAAATTTACCATGTTCATGTGATAGGAATCAATATAATTGTGAAATTTAAATAGCAATCATACCAAATATTAGTATTGTTATAATGAAAAAAAAAGGCTCTTAAAAAATGTTTTGCACAAGTTTATTTCTTATTTCTGAGTAACCCAGATAAATTACCTTTATTTATTCATTTCAAAATATTTGGTATATATGCGTATGTATCTTACCTCCTAAAAACTCGTTAAGAGAATCAACCCAATATTCCCACTGGTTTGAACTACCATGACGAAACCAAATAAGAGTACTGTCCACATTTTCTTCAGGTGGTAATGGCCTGAAACCTACACCTGAAAATCAGAGAGCACTAACAAAGTTAGTTTATTATGCAATATTATATTTATCAAAATGTCTTTTGTTTGCATGAGAATAACTTTAGGATGAGTTGAAAAATACATAGAACCTAAAATAATGAGGTAATATGCTTGCATTTACTTAGGTGTTAGTTTGATTAAAATGTATCATTGTTTAATATGAGAAAGGCTAATAATACAATACAAAACCTAAAACAGTACTTCTTAGCTATAACTGAAAAGTAACAGATAAAGAAGTTATGTTCAATAATGAACTAATTAAAAAATATTTTGTTTTCAACAACATGCACATGTATAAATAGAATTTAGTATTATCAGTGGAGTTGTAAGTATTAATATACTCTGTCAAAGCACTTAAATAAAAATTACTACCATTAACAATGTTCATGTCTTTTACCACAATAATTTTCATGGTCAGAGGTGTACTAAATTAACTTTACAAAATATGATCCATAATATAGAATATTAAAACTTAAAATTACATTATAAACTTTCTCTAAAAGTGAAAATCATATACACATTAATATTTACAGGATGAAATGAAAACAGCAAGAAATTTCAGACCTGACCAAATAGAAAAGTAATAATTGAAATGTTCTAACCTTGTAAATAAAATGTTTTATGTTTTATCAACCGTCTTTATGTTCATTAATAAACAAGTAGTTAACAAATAGTAAACATTTCACTTAGATGACACAAAAAAGATACCTGGACTATTTCCAATTCTGCCTGAATCAAGTTTCCATTTTGGTTGATGGTAATCCACAGTTACATAAAATACCATCAACATTACTGTCCAAAAAGCAACCAGGCAGGCATAGTAAATGATGTAAAAAATTGTAATTTTGGCTAAAGGAAGAGACAAAAAAAGCAGTATTAATAATATAATAAGAACTTGCATCAAACCACCAAAACAAGATATGTAACATTAATTACTACACCTCTAGATTATTTTAAAACTAGAACTAGAAAAAAAACTACGAAATAGTGTAGAGTTTAAAGAAGCAACCATAATCAGTCTTGTCAAAAACATACAATAAAATATTTTATTGAGAATAGTGAATTATGTAAAACAAATAAGGGAAAGAAATAATGTAACTTTCTGAATTGAGAGCTAAAAACTCTGCAATTAAAGATTTTATTCAGAATTTTTTCAGTAAACTTTAATAATTTTTTTCCTGTAAAATAGTAGTAAGAAATGAATTTGAACATTATACATCATATCCTACTAAATTCAACATTAACAGGTTTTGATATTTGTGATTACAATCAATCATGTACTCTATAATTCTGACATCCACATTTTGTTTAATTTCAACTAGTAACAGATTCTACAAATTTAAGAAAGTTCAATTATTTAAGAGCCATTTCATTATGTATTGCAGAATTAAACTTTACATATTGACAGATATTTTAAAATTAAAAGCCATAAGTCAATGAACCTTTTTTTTGGCAACTTTGTACGTGCCTAAAACAAAACAGTTGTTACCTAAAAATAGGGCATTATGAAATGTAAGTTTTAAGGAAAAAATATTAAGAATATTTTTTGAATTAGTCTAAATATTCACTTGACTAAATATGAATCTATTTAATGCATCAATATTTGAAAACAATGTGGTTGAAAACTTATCTTGGGGATTTATTAAATATATTCTGCATACAAGTATTGTGTAAAACACAGTATAGCTTTACTTATCTCAACAGATAATTCAAAAAAGATAATGATTTTGGAACATAAAATGTAACTTATTTTATTAAACAATTTAACAAAACCAATTGCTTTTGACATCAAAAGTACAGAATATGAGGATATGATCATAAGATGCATTTTTTTTTTTTATAACATGGGATGTAAACTCAGAAAATTCAAATAATGGTTAGGTTTTAGTACAAATGCAGAAATTTTTCAGAATGAGTGTCGGATAAAAAATCTATACATTCAATTTTAGTAACCAATTCACCAAGCTTTCTCAAACTATATAGTTATGCTCACCACTTATTCATGTCAAACTTGTAATGAATTAGAGCAAACAAAGAGGTTGTGTGTAGATAATTTTTTCCATAAAATTTTTTTAAACCATCATGATTTAGGTTGGCATAACTACAATTTATTGGTTAGTTTTTAGATCAACAGCCTATAATATCATTCAAAAATGATGCAGTGATGTCTTAATACAAAGAGTTTATAAATACCAAATAGGATAATTAATAAGCTGGGCAATCTAAATAAAGGGATTGTCAGATCCTAATAGAAAGAGTTGCATTAATTAAAATGGATGTTAACAAAGATTCAACATCCACAGTAACCAGTAAGAAATATATATATTCTTAATTAAATTCTTTCAATGAAATATTTAGTCTGGGATATGCAAGTGTCAAGATGAAGAAATAGTAGTGTAAATAAAATTCTACAGAATGGCCTGGATTAACATTTATGAATTTTAGTTCAAAAATAAATAATGGTTATTTTGATGCCTTCTGTTATTTCATTTATGAATAAGTATTTATTACATTTTAAATGTTGTCATAAAATTGTTAAGTAGGATTTTCTAAAAGATTATTTTAGCTTCTCTTTTCCAAGTTTTATGGTAAACTAAAAAATAGTGTTGAATTTAAATATTTTTTTATTGTTCAGAAATAAATAAAATATTTTATAAAAAAATTCTTACTTTTGAAATTATATCAGTTTTGTCAGAAAAAAAAGTATCTACATGACATTTTAGACTATTATATTTTAAAAATAACATATCAAAGAAAGCTATTTATGAAGGGCGTTCATAATGCAATAGTACTCTATTCATTCTTAATGAATTCTGGAGATGGAAAAGATTATTCACCCAAGAAAGTTTTTGGATCATTTTTGAAGATTAATTAATATAATATATCCTATTCAAAAGAGGAAAAGATCATATTAGACAAATCCCTAATGTCCAACCCTATAATGTATTAAGCACACATAACAAAATAAAAAACAGATGATTGACTATAAATACATACCTTGATCAATAACAATTAAAATCTAATAAACTTATGTCAGACACACACAATGGCTTTATAGTTCTAAAGTGCAAGAACTGGAGTATTTTTGATACATCTTAACAAACTTTACAAACTGGACAAAAACAACAAAAGTTACAAGCAACAACTGAAATTGTAGTGCCAGTGAACAATGTCACATCTAGTCTCTCTCTTAAATGGAATAACAGAATAATTTACGTTAAAAGTGAAATTCTCAGAGTTTAGACACCTCAGTTCAATATCCAACTAAAATATTTATAAAAAAAAACTATAAAGTTTACATAATATTGGACAATACAAGTTAAATATCTTATTAATTGTTATGGTTTGAGGTGCAAGCAATACAGGCCTTTCCTGACCCATAACTGTACATTGTGTTTCCTGGTTTTAAACTTGCATACATGCATGTATAGCAATTTAACTAGTTTAAGAAAGGTTTTATAGGGAAAAAATCATAGTGATTTTTTATTACTTATGCTTAAAGTACGCTGATAGTGAAAGAAACTGTAAGATACTAGTTTTTGCTGCTGCAAGTTAAGTGAAATTCAGTTTATTTACAGACAACAGTTATCACTTTCTAAATACACTTATCTTTAAACAAACATTTTTCTTGTCCTACACTTCAAGTTTGATATTCTATATAAAGAAACTTATCATTCTCTTTGATCCCAACCCTCATATTCACTACTGTTATGTAACTGATATCAAATTATCAGTCAATGACTTGTATTGTTACTTGTTCTACATTATTACTATAAAGCTTTATTTTCCACAAACAGGGACAGATTAAGGGTGAGTGATCCCAGGTGGTGGCCCAGTGATGGGTCCCCTATTTTGCACTGACATCCTGCAGTATATTTCATTATTATAATGTACTGGTAAAGCCCCTCTTTACCCCCCCCCCCCTCCTGCAAGTGATGTTAACTACTTGAAAACAAACAGGAAAAAATACATAATGCAAAAACAAAATGAACAGTATTTGACGATTTCACTTTTTTTACTGTTGAAAATACCAGCTATTACTTTTGCAGACTCCTATACCATTGTAACTTAATAAACGGAACCAATTTTAGTAATAAATGAATAGATTAAAGTTTTAGGTGCTTTAGTCATGCAGCAGTTGAAATACAATAAGTCATTTTGAACAAAGTTTTGAAAAATGAATTATTTTGAGAAAGACCTGTTTTTCACTTTGAATAATCTGTACAAAAATACTTACTGTTTTTTTTCTCTTTAAATAAAGCAGCATGATGTTCCCTCAACCTTTCAGTAGCCCCAAAATCAAGGATAATTATTTTAATAATGAAAGCTTAGAAGTTACATTGTGAATTCAAAGACCTCTTACAGCTTTCAAACAGATGATAAAATGTAAGAAGTAATATATATACGGGATAAAACATAATTATATGTTTCTGTTTTCTAAATTAATTTACTACTCCAATTAAATCGGTTAACTTTTCCAACTTTCTGTGAGCTATGTTACTTTTTAAATACTACCTGATAAAGGTTCTACAACTAATTCTGCACCTTTTCTGTTCATATTATCGAAAGACAGATAAACTAAAATATAAAAGAAAAAACTGATTTAACGTTAGAAAGTTATTACCTTGTCTTTTAACCTACATAGACCTATTAATATTATTAAACCGTATATGAGCCTCGTAAACAAATACGCTCAATTTCTTTCATGTATTCATGCACTAAATATTTGAAATAAATGAGCACAGAATAAACTTCCTAGGCAGAAAAAAAAACATGTTTTACTTTATAATAGAATTTGCCCGTACTACGCCTAACAGGTATCCACCCTTCAAAATTAGCATGGAATCTTCCACAACAGGCCTAAGTAGAAGCACAAACGGGACATACCAGCAGCCATGCTACCAAGTTACTTTAACGTAAACTGTAGTGCTAAATCACACGCTATATCATCATATCAATTCTCATCTGTTCTCTCCACACTGAATGCTTGAATTGTAGACCCCCCCCCCCCACTTACAAAATATTAAATTACATTTGCAACACTCATTAATATCATCTGGAACGTTATTAAATGTTGTAAACTTTTCACAGTGCGTTTAGTATAGCATGGGCTTTTTCATTTCACAAATAGGCTTGTTTTTGTTTTGTTTAAACTATTTTGAGGGAGTAACGAATTTTTAGTATTTATTTTGCAATTTATAACTTATAAAGGTGTTGCTTGAAAATTATTTAGAACATATACAGTTTAATTTTACTGTCAAGTCTTACAAAAAATTTTTCACTAACTGTATGCTTTCTTATCAATATATCGACCTCAATGCCTTTAGATTCCCAGGACTTGTCACTCACTTATCTCCTAAATTTACACAGGGACAAGGTCCAGGCTGAGAACCTCAGTAAAACACACGTTTTTCAACGCTGGGCTAGGCGTATCTTTTCCTACCCGATGAAATAAAAATTTGGCTCAAAACGTACTTCTACATCATGGTTTTACGACATCAAGTACCGCAACAGGTTATCATTTCAGACCATAAAATAAACTCAATCTTTAGATAACATACCATATGAAGCATAGTTTATTTCACTTGTGACACTGCATTTTGGGGTTAATAGTACTAGAAGTTATACAATGTTAAGCTACAGGGATGCTGGCAAAAACAAAACAACAATAAAAAACACCAAAAACTATGCACGGAAGGTCTGGCAAGTTGGAGCTAAGCCCCTCCTCCTCGGATACTCCATAACTACAGAAAGGTTATAATTTCCTAACCTTTTGTGTTTTTGATGTCGACTGAATTTCGGTTTGAAAATTTTTCCTTTGGAAAAAATGTACGCACGTGAAATTATGC